GTGGAGAGTTCAGGGCTCCCGGATTTCAGCTTCTATGACTTCGGGGTTTCTCTTCGCCACCTTACTTCCTCAGCCCACCAGCAAAGCGACCATCTTCAGAAGATGGGCTTTCAACAAAATAACAAATCCCCAACTAAGAGCCACTATATCCGTTCCACTCCACAATCCCGGATGGGCTGAAATTGAGATGCTTCAGAGCGATAATTACAGTGGATCCAAATGCTGCACCTTTAACTTTAAGGATGGCTTAGGGCCTGCTTCTAAGTAGAGTTCACCACATGTTCAGCTCTCAAGCCCCCTCGTCCCAAACCCCAAACCTGAAAGCCTTAAACCCTCCGCGTACCGAGCTGTGAGAGTGTATACCTCAACGAGGCCGAAAAAGGGAGCCTAAACCCTAAGCCCCTAAACCCCTCAGCCCTAAACCATAAACCCGCGAACGACGTCCGAAACCCTGAAGCCTTAAATCCCCTTCCAAACGGAACTCAACAGAACCGCGAGGAGCGGATCGCCGCCCTGCGGGCGGCGCAAGGTCTTCGGCCCAGGCATGCGGGCTGCTTGTATCTCGGAGAGCTGATCATTTACCCGGTTTAGGGTCTACCTAGAGTAACCTGGGTACTGTTTTTTTTGCACATGACTTGTTGTGTATATGATTTCGCACACGATCGTATGAAAACGCACATTCCAAGACACTATTGGTAAAAAAGATCCATGACTCATCTTGTCAGGCTCAATCCAGCATTTGTTCGGGGTTGAACTACTTCATTACAAAGATGAAATCTGATATTGGCGTGCATCTCGGTATCGAAGTTCCACACTGCTTCTGAAGCTGTCACGTTCCATTTCTAGGGGATCTGAGGGGAAGACTGGGTGTTATGCCGTCAAGGTTCAATCTACGAGTTCGATCTCCCACAACTTCAGCTCAACCTGTGCAGACCAAAGCCCACAACAATAAATATTATCAAACCAACTAGATAACCGAGAATCTTTCCCCCGCCCAAAACATGCCGATCCCTGGCTCTTCTTGCAGCCTGCCGAGTCCCAGCTGCATCTCGCCAGCAGAGGATGCATTCGGAAGATCTTTTGGAGCTTTGTTCTAGTATCCCCTATTGATCATTCTCGTTCATAACAAAATGCATGCGCACAAGGTAACGATCGATCGTCCTGGCATTTGTTACACCAGGGTGCACATGTCTCGAAATTTGGCTAATTTTGCCAATGAAATCCTCGTCCGCCTCACACGAGGCGACGCTCGGTGATAGAAGGTGCTCACGAGTGGGATCCCGTAGCTGTCGCTTAGCGTCGACATAGAAATGGTGCCAGTAGTGGAAAGATGGGACCAAGGAGTATCGGGCCCTTGCTTCTGTGTGGCACTGCATTGCCAATTGAGAATATGCTTCTGCAAACTGAAGCACTGCATCTTTCACTTGCTTCCCGTAGTCTCTCGTGAGCCAAAGGCCCCGGTTGTGTATGATCCGAAAAAACTGTGCAGCCGCTTTCGAGGCTGCAGAGATGTTCCTGAAAAACCCGGCATGGGAAACATGTAGTGGGTTGTCGATCATATTTCCACTGCTTCGAGCACCACCAAGACGAGGACCATGGAGCATCAAGAAGCCGAGCCACCTCGTCAACAGCATGACATCACTTCCCTTTGGTCGCATGTAAGGGAAGGCACTTGTACGTGGGTAGTGTAGGTTCGTGCGAGTGAAGTGTTTGAGATGAGGCACACCTCCACCTCTGAAGTCATGCCTGACGTAGTGGGCGAAATCCTCATATGCTCTCTCCATGACATCGTCGAAGTTGTTGTTGTCGGTGTTCCAATACCCAAGCTCGGCAATCAAGACAATGGAGGAGGCACAGTAGTAGCCCCCCAAGGCTTGTTTGTAGACATGGAAGGGATCTCGTAGATACAAGGCTTCTGGCGCATTGGGATCCCCGGGAACAAGTGAAAGCGGGCTTGGCGTGGTCCAAGGTCTTTGGGTGAAGATTGTCGCTTCGTAGGTCGGGTCGGGTCGACAATCCTCGAAGGGGATATTGGGTGCTCCAGCTAGGCATTCAGGACAAAGGGGCTTTCCGAGGTTTTGGAAATTCCTGCTCAGGTTGCCGGCCTTAGCGATCGCTGGTGCATCTCCTTTGACAGCCACTAGACATGCAAAGTAGCGGCTGCCATCTTGCAATGTAAACCCATCCTCCAACAGCGAGGTGGCTTCCTCGCGGATCTTATCCAGCATGGCGTCGTACACGTTTTTGTTCCGCTTAGTGTAGGAAGCTTTTGGCAAGATCGTGTACAGCATGCGTGTCTTGTAGGTGGATCCTCGAGCATTATGAAACTGGTTTCGCAGCATGATATCCATAATCTCAGCATGACTAAGCCCATCCGCCCATCGAAAGTTCAGCTCTTGCTCGAAGTTGGGTCTCGTCTCAGCACCGAAAAGGGTCTGTGCATGGACCACCAGCACAGCAGACTTCCTCAGCCCCCGACCCTCGTCTAGGTGAAGTGCGAAAGGGATAACTTTGTCTAGCCTTCCTCTATGCAGTTCGTACACAGCGTGGCCCGGTCGTTCTTTTTCAAAAGCTTCCCAAAAGCCTCGCAAGCAAACCTTGGCGAACTGGTCATCAGGAGCAAACCCTCCCAAAAGTAGACCTCCTTGACGAACATTCATCAAATAACGGAGCCAGGTTGTCAGCTTGATGTAATGAACCGTAACAACATTGGCAACGAAGGTGTTCACAGCCAGGGGAAGCACCAGATCTACATCTCTTAGCACTCTCAATAAGTCTCGCTCCGAGGTATTCATGTTTGGGCTGGCCGCGAAGCGCTTCAGCGGCTCTGGATGGAGGTGCTCTGGTAGATCATCAAGGCAAGCTGTAGCTTGCCGCCGCAACTCGGTGGCTGGGGCCTGGGAGGGATCCGGAACACTGTTATAGGCTAGCATTGTGGGATATAGTATCTACTTAGCGCAGGAAAGGTGATTTGGAGAAGCACCCCAACTGTCTTTTATATACATAGTGGCATAGAGGAGTTCTCAAGTCTCGGGAAAGGGTTTAAGTTTCACAAACGAGGATCATTGATTTCATTTGTTCAAAGGGGACAAGGAGGGACCCTTAATGGGGACCCCTACCCTATAATGGGCGATAGAATGGGTATATAATAGCTATATTAAGGGTATATTACCTAGGGGTCCTTCTTAAGGGTCCCTCCTTTTCCCCTTTGATTTGTGTTTTAAGCATTTCACTGAGTGCTTCGTGGATGTGGGTCGATGATCGGTCTCTGCGTTACAACATGTTCATCCTGGAATACATGGGAGGCTTCTCCTCACTTTGACATTTGGTCTCGGGGATAGTCTGGAACACTTTCTGACAGTTGAAAGTTTGTTTATCGAGGGACTACTCTTCGAAGCCGGGGATATCCATGGCTAACGGACTAGGCTATTTAATCTCCTAGTTCGTCTGAGGACAAAACAAACATATTATTCTAATATCCCAAAATTTCGAAGGCTATCCATATATATACTTGGTCGAACATAAAGGACCCCGGGATTGCTGGACCTCGCTGGTTGTACACTCGGCACGTTAAAGTTTTGCATATCGAACATTGATACATAGAGGATTGCAGAGTCCAGGTTGGGCTGATGGTCCCCTAGATTAGCAAACAGATTCTTGTAAGCACCACGCTCCACTGGCGAGTGCTTTCGCCATGCTCTTCAGCACGGCACCCACTCGAGGGCGGTTGTTTTCACCTGGCACAAAGCACCAGCACGATAGCAGGGGCCCCGAAGCAGTGCACGAACAGAGTCTGCAAGAGTGGCATGTGGGCCCTTGTTTTCATCTTAGCCCCGCTCGACATGCAGCAGCGCTGAACGTGAAAGTGCAGATATCATGCTTCAGAAGCTGACGAAGACTCACTGACGGTTTGCACGAAAACCAAGGCATGTCGCATCCAGAGCAATCACGGCAATTACTTCAAGTATGACTAAACTCGTCTTTCCAGCCCCAGTACAACATCAGAGCTATGGATACAGGCTACAAAACCCTTAGGGATGGACAGCTGAAGCGATCGAACTGGGCATTTGCTTACCTCCTGCGCCTTGAGCTGCCCTTAACAGACTCCTTGGCAGGTGACTCGCCTTTGCCAGCCTGCTGTGGCGAGGAGCCTTTGGCACCCTTGCCCTTACCCCGACCCTTGGTTTTGGGCTGTGCTTGTGCTTTTGGCACAGGCACCGAGCGGCAACGCACTTCCAGGGTCACGGTCTCCTGGGTCCTTAGTGTTTTGGAAAATACAAAGGCAGAGCACATTTCGGAGAATACATGCAATTTCAATATTTTACGAGTCCTACACTTATTCTCAGCGAAGCTCACATTGGCAGCATCCTTGTAGGCTGCACGAAGCTGCTCCTCATGCCTGAGATACAGGCACAAAAACGACGGCACAAGTACAAATAACTAGGAGCCCCACACGACATTTGCAACATTGTCAAGCCACGTAGGTTCGTAGCCCTCCACAGCACCACTGGAGAAAATTGAACGGATATCGTCCAGGGCTTTCTCCACTCTCGTCATCAACGTGTCACACTTCGTCACGATCCTGAGAACTCGAACAAGCAAACGAAGTCCGAAACATAACCACGTGCATTGACCGTGTTGAGCTGAGTCGCTGCGTGTGGCAGCTGGTCAGCAGCTTCGGATCGATGTTGGAGTACTTGTCCTTGATTTCCTGGGTTTTACAAGATGCCTACTGTTGGGGGCGAGGTTCTTAACATGTACTGATTGGAACGATCTGAAATAACTAAGCTTCGGCGATTTTGTTCATCCTCTTAGCAAGAGCATCCATGTACTTTGTAATCACGCTCGAGGGCTGGGCATCTTTCATGACCGCGGGCAGGAGTGGCACCTGCTGCTTGCCCGGAGCCGGCGTCGGTGGATTGGTGCCGCTGCTGGCGCCACTCAATTCCATTCCTGTGGACTTGGTTGGCAACAGGAGGATTAGCTACTTTAAAGCGGGGTTATAGTAGTTTCTGGCGATGCAAAATCCTAGATGGTGTGCCTCGTGCGGCTTGGTTGAGGTCGGCTTCGATAGGCGGGGCATCCAGGAAGGAGGCAGCATCAGTCGTAGTTTCATACTCACCTTCTTCGTTGGTCTCACGAGACCTCTCCTTCTCCCAATCCATCTCGAGATCCTCTTCATACCAGTACTTTGTCAGCTTCTGGTACTTGTCATACCTTACACATGGAGCTCAGTTCGGTCACTTGAAACCCCGTATCAACACACGAGGTTGTCTTGTCTGGCATTATATTGCGAGACGTGTTGTGATAAATCAGTATATATATATATATACATATAGATAGATGCACACACATACACAGGCATGCATGCATATATACATATATACAGTCAGACATATCATACATACATACATACATACATATACATATACATATACATATACATATACATATACATATACATACATACATACATACATACATACATACATACATGTGGGGAATGAATACATGCAATTAAGTGCTTCAGTTGCACCTATTAGCAATGAACCACACATACATACACACACACACACGTACACACATACATGCATGCATAAAGGTGCTGACATACTACATGTGTGTCCACCATTGTACACTTGCTGATAACAGAAGATACATGTCCATATGCAGTGTTGGACTTCCACCAGTAGTTGGGGTTGTAGGAGCTAGGTCATCCTTGGTTTTCGGCGCCATGGATTACGGTAGGAGGGCTACATGGGGGTTATAAACCAGTGTAGCTCAGTTGCGTTGTGTAGCCGGGTCGGGCCTCACAGAACTCCTTCACAGCTTTGATCCGTGCCCTGAGCTGCCCCAAGAACAGGGGAAAGATAGCCAAGACCAACGACCAAGAAAGCAAACAGTGCACAACTAAACAAAGGCCAGTCTCTCCTTCAGCTTCAGAGTGTCTCGCATCTTATCCTCGGAGCACCACTGGGCCTTGACCCGATACTTCACAGCCTCCCGCTGCTTCAGGAGAACCTTGACACTCTTGATGAAGACTTCCTGACATGCTACTCAGGTAAAGATGCTGACTGCAAGCGCTGGCGCAGAAGCTGCTGGTCCTTGTCCAGGTTGGCATCCTTAAGGCGACGTCGGAGCTCAGCCCGGTCCTCGCCCCCCTTCATCCATAAGTCATGGATCTCTTTCGGAACATTCAGTGACCTTAGATGATTGGGCACAATCCATATAAGCTGTGAAATCAGTTCACTGCCATGCACTGTTCGAAGATTCGGACGACGCTGTTGAGGGACCCGTTTTTCTTTCTCTCGCACAAGCGCTGCAGACGCTTGCGCAGGGCGTCGTCTGCCTTCTCATCGTCCTGAGCCTGCCCTTGCATCTCGGCGGCAGACTTCAGCTGCTCTTGCAGGTTGCGGTTCTCGACATCTTTGGCGTCCATAGCAATTTGCATTCGTTCAATCATGTGCCGCAACTCCTCGACGTCTGCAGCACTGCTGTCACCAGGCTCCCCGGTGCCGCCAGACCCAGGGGACTGAGCCTGCAGTGTCGAAGGGTTGGTTCGATTCGGTAACATAGTTTCAGGGAGGCTTTGCTGGGTTTTGCTGCTAAGAAGCGAACAAGTTCTTCTTCACTTGCGGTGTGTCAATCTTCGCAGGGCTGGGGCTGGGGACTGGCTGATCGACCTGGGTCTCCTGAACGGTCTCCAAGCCCAAAGCCTGCTTCTTGTTCACCTTCATGGGGGTTGTTTCTGACTGCTTCGCACCAGGAGGGATCATCGCCGTGGTCCCCGGAGACGGGGCTTCTGGGCTTCTCTGCATGCGGCGCCTCTTGCGGAGCTCCTGCGACTCACTTGCACCAATTTATTTAAGGGATGCCCGGCAGCAGTCCTCGAGTTGCATCTCCATGGCGGCCAGCTCCTGATCTTCGTCTGGGCACTCGACCTTAACCTGCTGACGATTTATAGCATCAATTCCGGCTTGGAGGGTGCTCGTGCTCCACGCTTGGCTGAGAAGCTTCTCAGGCGCGGCCTTCTGATTTGCTTCAGCAGCCATCGTGGAGAAGGTGTTGGGGCTGAGTTTTGAGAATCTCGAGAACAAAAACCCTGCAAAGGAAAGATAAGTCAGATTGCAGTCATATACACTGATCAAGCAACGTGTTCACATACGATCCACAATCCAAGCTGATCCAACTACTTTTGCTTCAGGAGCCCACGTGTGCAGGTTCACACGGTCAAACTCGTACACATCGAATTGAGAGCTCTCTGTGCACATGTGTGTGGCAGTTGTCCAAAACTGGGTCCCATTTCTGGCGTGGATATTATTAACTAACGCAACATAACTAGATTAGAGTAGACAGAGGAGTGGAGTCGCGATTTGCTGCAAAGGAGGAGCATCTATGCTGCTCGTTGGTAGTCTGGACCCAAACCCTGTGCACACCGCTAAATCTAAAGGTTTTGCGCGAATTGGCTGGGCCGGGTTTGGTTGGTTGGGGGGGGGTTGGGTGGTTGGGGCGGACAGGGCCCAGACGGGGCGGACGGGGCGGACGGGGCCGGATCAGGCCGGACGGGGCGGACGGTTGCAAAAAAAGGGTCACGCTATGTAAATTCGCACATGAGCAGCGGACGGGTCCGGGCCGGACGCTGAAAGACGCACCTCGGACGCGAGAAGCCGCCCCTCGGACGGGGCACCCCCCAGCCTATAAGTAGAAAACGCACATGACTTTAGGAAAACGCACATGAACCCTTGAACTAGCCACACACAGGCACATGGGTCGGTAAAACGGGTAGCCACCTTTCGGGAATACGGAGGCACGTGGATCCTCGAAGATAGATCAGCAACTCAGCCATAGCAGCATCGTCCCAGACATCGCCCCAGGCTAGCCCAGCATACATGTCTCGGAGGTCGGTCCGAAGGTCAACCTGGTCAACTTAGTTCGGGAAGCCTGAACCCCTGATTGCTCTAAGGTGGGCAAACATTCACCATGGAGCCTCCGGCGCTGGATCCCTGCCATCACTGCGAGCCTCCTGCTGAATCTCGAGGCACCGAAGAGCAAAGCGCATAGGATAAATCCTGAGCCGAAGGAGCTAATGTAGATACTGCGTAGTTTTCGCGGTATACACTGCTCTACATAAGTCGATATTTGCTACCGAAGAACTGGGTGTCCTTGAGCTCCTTGGATCCTTGATACGAGGCTTTTCCATTAGTCTTGCGAACCCCTCTGAGCATCGTCTTCTTCTCACACTTCAGGTCTGCGAGCTTCATGGCTGGATGTTGCAGCAGAATAATCTTTGGAGAATTAGCCACAACCAGGGTTGGTTTCGGATTGGGATGGCCAAAGAATTTCATGTAGAACTTCTGCTTGAATACCTCAGGCAGAAGACACAGGGTCTGCAACAAGTCTGTACATTGACTGTACATATCCCACTTTCCGAAACAACGCTGCAAAGAATCTCTCATATTCATGCTGTCGAGGTGATGCACGAACCAGCGGAATCTATCTGACTCAAAAAGCAGCGAGGAGTTGGGCTGTTCCACGAGCCAGATGCCACACTTGGCTTCGATCAAGAGCAGTAGGAGGATCGTCCTGAGCCAAAATCTCCCCTCTCCTCCCCCCTCTCTCCTTGCCCCACTCTTTCCCTATCCGTCTCTCTCTCTCTCTCTCTCTCTCTCTCTCTCTCTCTCTCTCTCTCTCTCTCTCTCTCTCTCTCTCTCTCTCTCTCTCTCTCTCTCTCTCTCTCTCTCTCTCTCTCTCCCTTTTATGTCCTGTTGTGCCCCTCTATCTCTATCTTCCTTTGCCAACATAATCACACTTGCTCTTTGAGCTCTTTTTCGTTTCAACATAAGCGCACTTGCTTCTTGGGCTCTTTGGGATCGTTACGGTTCCAACAAAATCACACTGCTCACTGGGATCTTTGGGCTCGTTTTCGTGCCCACATAACCGCATGATATCTCTCTCTCTCTCTCTCTCTCTTTCTCCCTGGCTCTCTTTTGCTTGAATCAGAACAATGCTGACAATTTCGCATTGGTTGCATTATGTAAGTGACACCGGTCCTGCAGCTGATGAGATTGGCCACTCGCACACTACGATGGCCGGTGTAGCCCATCGGATTCAGAAAGCTCCTATAGGTAGCTCCTCGTGAAATTGACACCCATGAGGAGCAGCAAACTCCAAGCATGCATAGCAGCAGGCCATACTTGCCCTGTAAAGCCGCCATCAATGCCAACCTAAGCTACATCAGTTCTTTTAGAGCGGGAGCGCATGTTCACCCATGCACAGACTCTCTCACACACACACACACACACTCGTGCTGTTGAATTGTTTGAGAAAAACACACTTATGCACTGAAATACACACAGAAGAACACTTACACAAGTAGTTGCAGGCACACACACACACACGCACAGAGACACATGTGCACCCGAACAAACCAAGGCCAGCCGTGAAACCCAAACCCTGCTGTGGATGTCATATCGAAGACTCTCTGGTTTTCGTGATATAGGATATCGAGAGCCGCAGCATTCAGGCCGGCTTTCCGGGCTGCCTTCGCGATCCTGGCCTTCCCGCCGAAATACTCGACGACATCGTACTTCTCAGGCAGGCTGTGGCTCCATATCAAAAGCAAGACTGCCGTGATCAGCACCTGGATCGGATTAGGAGTGCATGGGCTGACAGGGTTTAGGATTCAGGGCACCGGGTTATTTTCAATAAGAAACAATGCAGTACCTCTGCAATGCCAGAAAGTGGGTTTGCTGGAGTTGAAACGTCAGGCCCCGTCCTAAATGCATGATCTGGCAGCGGCACGCCTTCGGGCACTGCAATGCGAACATTCTCCGAACGACGATTTCGAGGTGGGGCGGTACATCCATTGCATCCGATTGTTTACAGAAAGACAGTATGTGCACAGACTCCAATGTACCTAGCACGTATATATATATATATATATATATGTATATATGTACAATTGTGTACGGAGACCTATTGATGAAAGTATCCTCATATACACATGCATACATACATATACATACATGCATATATACGTGCATAGATACATACACATATATACATGAATGAAGCTACATATGCGTATGCATACATAGTGTAGACATATGTAACACACAACATATAAAACCTCGTACACACACGTTCAGCATAGCTCAAAAGACCTGCAACTGTACATTAACGTGAGCCAGAAAGGGCTGGGTAACCAAGGCACCTTGAATCCCCAGATGCTGCACAAGGGTGCATTGCATGACTCAGCTGTGTGCATGCATGCAGACATGATTGGCTGATATACATAGGCAGATATGCATCAGACAGCCGATGCCATGCCCTGCTTGCAAGACATGTTGGAGAGACGTGGCCCGAGGTTGTTGTCCACCAACAAACCATGTCTGGCATAGAAGCCCAGTCCCGCACGTAGGGCCTGGGGCTCATGTTCCAGACAGAAGAGGGAGAGGGAGAGGGAGAGGGAGAGGGAGAGGGAGAGGGAGAGGGAGAGAGAAAGAAAGAGAGAGAGAGAGAGAGAGAGAGAGAGAGAGAGAGAGAGAGAGAGAGAGAGAGAGAGAGAGAGAGAGAGAGAGAGAGAGAGAGGGGGAGGGAGGGTGCAATGACATAGGCTTGCATGTGATGCAGTCTGAAGCAGATTGATTTTTTTCTCGCTCATTTCAGGATACCCCGAAACAGTGGCCAGAAGCAGGCAGCTCACCCCGTAAAGAACCGCGCTGGTTCAAAATTTGAAGATCAATGCCCTTAGCATCGACGAATAACTTTGTGCTCCGGCTTCACCCACCATGCTCCATGATGGTCTGGAGGCTCATCTTGGCCTCATCCGCTGCAGCCGTGAACCTCTCGTGACTGACATCGCCTGCCACTTCATCCAGGATCTGGGCCTTGGCTGCCGGATGCTACTGACCGTATAGCGCTGCCCGAAACTAGTTGAAGCAAACACAAGTTCCAATGGTTGTAGGCAAGCCACAACCGGGTATACCACTGGAAGGATCTGTGCCATGGTAGCTCCACGTTGGGCAAGGTAGAACACCTGATCATGTGCAAGGAGAAAAGCACCTAGTTTTTGTGCCACAAATATCAACAAGCGCTTCAATAGCTTAATATGAAGACTGAAGCCCAGGCAGATTTGCCGGTCGTGCGCAGCTTCAATCCACAGGCGGGCCGGGTCCAGTACACGTCCAGGTAGCCTTGCTCAAAGTCGTTGCGGACGGCGCATCGTGCTGCTGGGCGCTTGAGTACCGGCATCGGTTTGTCCTCGTCATCCGATTGGTCACGCTTCTTTGCGGACCCCTTGGCCTTCGCCGTTCCCTTTGCCTTGGCTTTGGGTCCCGACTTTGCCTTTCCCTTGGCCTTCGCTGTCGGCGCCGTTTTCGCTTTCGCTCCTGCTTTCGCCTTCGCTTTCGCTGTGGTTGCTGCTTTCGCTGGCTTGGTGTTGGGCGGCTTCGCTTCTGGCTCGGAGTGGTCGTCGTCACCCTCACCGTCAACCTCACCATCATCGCGATCCTCTTGCTTGCGGCCGCGGCCACCGCGGCCACGGCCACCCCGGCCACGGCCACCCCGGCCGCGACCCCCTTTTGGAGCCTTGGGTCCCCGGTGGCTGTCGTCCTTCTCCCTTTCGGCCTCCATACTCTCCATTTGCTCCCTCCTTGTCAAGAACGGAACATCCTTGGCAGACTCATCAACAGTCCCTGCCTTCGGAAGCTCACTGAAGCCCTTGTAATCCCCATTGGCTAGCGATGGAACCGCAGCCTGGCCCTTCTCATCCCCACTCTCATCCGAAATGTCCATGCGTGCAACAACCTGGTTCTGCACAGTCGTGGGAAGCTCTTGCAGACACTCCTTGGCATTCTGCCGAAGCACAGGGGCAGGCGGCCGCACCTAAGCTTTGGCACATTCGGGTGTGCATTCGGTATGCTAAGGACTTTAACAAGACTCAGAAAAAAGCATCGGCTGCCTGGGCAGGCTCCTGCACGGCCTCTGCTGACGTCGAATGCCCTGCCCTTCGTGCTGCAATTTGTCGCCTTGGTGCATTGTATATCATGTAAGATGTACGATGTCTGTGAATCATGCAACACCCGCCGCCCTCACTAGTTAAAGTAACCAAGAGACTCCATCTCCAGAATCTGAGCATCCAGGTCTTCACGCGGTCTGGATGGGACCAACGCCTTTTGCGGCGGAGATGGCGAAGGCGTGTTGACTAACGTGTCCATCATGCTAGGGTCCACAACACCGCCCGTAGAAGTGGGCGGAGGCCCGACAGGATCTGTGGCAGCTTCCTCTTCATCCCTAGACGTAGAAGTGTGTGGAGGCCCGACAGGCTCTGTGGCTTCCTCTTCATTCATAGACGTAGAAGGCCCGACAGGCTCTGCCACCGGATTGGCAGGATCCTCTTCATCCCTCGACCAAAGGTCAATGTCGAGTGAAACACTGTTGCGCTCATCGTGATCGTCCTCTCACCAAGATTCACTCTCACGAAGATTCACATGCGTTTCGAAAGTTTAGCAAGTGGTTTGAAAGTAGTGTTTGCACACATATGATGTCCTCCTCTACTTTCACACGCGGAGCATCGGGGTCCACGTCGGGTTCGTCCGACATATGGTCGGACTCTTCCAGGTCCTCACTGGCATCGGCGTTCTCCCATTCGTGGAGCACCTCGGGGAACCAGCCTCTGATGAACACGTGGAAAATGTCACGAACTGATGGATCCTTGGCTGCAGATGCACACAGCTAAAGACTTTGAAGGGCAGGGGACTGGGCACATGATACATGTGAACGACATCGAGGTGCTCTGGCACGGTGTCCCATGGAAACACGACGGATGCTGTAGGAAATCAGCTTTCTCAAGCCCCATGCTTCAGCATGAACCTGCACAGCCGTAGGCTGTACACCGTCTTTGTTTCCACCAATCAGAACCCAGAACTTCTTCACCTCAGCGCAAGGGCGATGATGTTTAGAATAGCGATGCATCCGCTAGACCGCTAGATGATTCGAGTTGCCTCGTCATGGATGGCAGCTAACGGCGGTGTCTTAGCCTTCTGTGTGGTCTCGTAGTCATACCTGGCCACCCACATCTGGACCAGCACGTACAAGGCGTTGGTGTTGAGCACGAGAGCTTTCCTCAGGCAGGGAAACATGCGAGTAGATTAGCTAATGACATTGCGCAAGCCAAAGGATGTCGATTTCTGCAGACACGATGCATGCTAGGGATACCGACGGTTTCCGGGGATGGCCAACGAACCAAGTGGCCCGTCTCTCGGGCGCCACGTCTAACGTTAGACACATCTTCCCAGCAAGCAGCCAATCCCTCCAAGACCGTAGCTTTTGGCATGGCCGGTGCTCAATGGCACTGGGATGGGAAAGCACTCGAAAACTTCAAAAGCTGCCGAGATAGAGGTTTCTCAAGCGATCGACAGAACACTGAATGAAAGAAGCAATCCACAAACTGAGACTTTCACCATGGCGTGAAGTTCAGCTTCTACGAAGCCGGGCCATCGAGCATCAGACCTGACCAAGGATCGGAGACTGTGACAGCCAGGGCGAGGGGCTGACTTGCAGGCAGAGTACAAACATCGGCAAGCCATGAATACATGATGAATTGATGTGCGGGGTCTTTTAAAGGCTGCATGACGCACACTTCATCGTCATCTTCATCCTGGGATACGCAGGGCTGTGGGCTCCATTCAAAATGCCACGGGGCCATGAGCCTTATCTGGCTGAAGACTGTGTATTGGAGTTTCAACCACTCTGTTCGGAGTCCAGCACCCTACCCCTGTGGCTTCTGATTCTCATGCTCGGACTGCATATCCTTCTCAGGAGACTCAGTGGGAGAGAAGCTGATGGAGGAGCCGCTGACCTGGTTTGGGCTGCACGGGGCCAGTGGAAACATGTCTCGTGGATGTCACATCTACGAACGTAGGCCCCAAGCCGTGTGCAAGATCTCCGCACCTCCTCCAGGGAACATATGTATTACATGTTCTGTGCCCCCTACTGTAGCTAGTGTACACCAATCCTTGGTGTGCCCGCACCAGGTGCAGCATCAACCCATTGGAGTCGTAGTTCTGGATGAGCATGCGGATGTTATCAGGAGCTGGTGTGGTGACCTGAGCAACCCGTGACCAAGACAACGTCGATGCGGGGATGCGGGGAGAAATGAGTGTTTATCTTGATCAAAGTGCCGCATTGTGGAAGACCTCTAGCACGGCGGTCCAGAAGTCATCCGGCAAGTCGGACAAACCTCTGGATTTCTCACAAAACAAACGGATCTCACATGAAAGAAGTAATGATACAAGCCCAAATACAACCCCCAAATCGTAGACTAGTGGCCACGTTCGTTCAAATCCCGCACCAAGTCGGGGCATGATGTGCGCAGCGCTTCCATCGTGTGAGGTAGCTACCAAGTTTGGAACCCCAGCACAAATCACTTGAATCAAGAACGGCTTCAAAGGTGTGCTTGCAGCACAACAAATGCCACATATGCCATCCGAACGAAGTGAGCAGGCACCCAGCCTGGTCTGGGCCACAATCAGGAGGATCCCCCCCGAGCCAGCAGCTCTGGGTCGAACACCTGTACTCCTTCAGGATAATACCTGAAAACCCATAAAACAGTACAAACCCCAGAAAACGCACCCGGACGGCTAAAAACCGTTTCTTTCGAATGACCCCAAATTTTCAAGTACAAAGGATACTCCAGGTAGGTATACTATATAGTAACATACTACAATGTACTATAGTAGTTATATTGTAATATATACTACAGTGTACTATAGTATGCTATGAAAAGAGCATTTTTTACGGGCTCAGAGCCTTGGGGTTGAGGTCTCTGGAGGGTCAAAGTAGGCATGATGCATGTGAAGACAGACAAGAACGTCTAAGCATGATGCATACCAAAGCAGGCGAAGGCAAAGTTTGCAAACACTACCTACTTTGGGCTGTTTTAGAGGTTTCGTGCATTGGCTTTTGGGCACTTGACACCCTATCGTAGCCTGAAGCCCGCCATCCCTTTCTCCACAAACCATGGAACCATGAAACCCTGACTGAGCAGGGAGCCGGCGGAGAGAAACTGTGATAGAATGAGATGGGATGTTGCTGCTAAGACTGCCGCTGTTCCCCTTAGCCAAAGCGAAGACCTGCACAGTCTACACTAGGGTTGATTATATAAATGCTGCATTACCTTAAGGACCCTAGACTATAGGAAATTTCATACATCGCTTGTTATGGGTAATGCAGGATGTATATCATCAACCGTACCACTGGGTACTCCATGGTGGCGGATGAGATGGATTTGCTTTGCAGATTCTGCTGGGCCAAGGTACCGGTTGGGGATGGCTTGCCGGGAGAAGGGAGAGAACCAGGAGGCACAATTTGCAACCACGAGTATACACGATTAGAAGATGCATTAGTAGTATCCTATGGAGATTCGGATTACAGGGGCCCCCAATGAAGAACTTAGGATTAGGTTTGGGATAGGTCCTAAGGCTTAGGATGTACGCTGCGAGGTTCAGAGTCGCACAAGTTGAAGTTATGGGCCGTGAAATCCTTGTGGCCGTTCCGAGTCGCATTGCATGGTTTGTAGGACTGACTGTTCAAGACGAGTACCTAAGCAACGGCACTGCGACTTCTATGCTTTGTGCTGGTGTTTAGATGGGCCTCTTGTTGTGCATCGGTGGCTTACGGTCTTCACGGGTAGTCCCAGTCTGGGAATTGTTTGGCCTCATCTTTGGTGGCCCTGTAGAAGCTGGACTTTAGATGACCTCCTGATTGGGACAGAGCACATGCTCGAGACAGAATCCATATTGAACGCACGCCGAACCACTCGATAGCTTAACGGGGTGTCTCAGGAGTGATAAGGGTGTGGTCAGTGACTGAAGAAGGCTTCTACCCTGCCCATGTGCCGAGCTTTTTGGGGAGGGCTCTATGAAGAAAGGTTGCTGACAGGGCTGCTGCCCTTTGAGAATTACCATGAGGGTTGCTATAATAAGGGTAGCCGTGGATAAGAATTCATTCTGCAAGGTGTTTATAAGGGTACGTGGTAGCCTGCTTGGATTTCCCTTCGCTCTGCAGCTTCAATAAATGGGTGGTTGTCAGTATTAGGGTCCCTCTTCGGCTCCTTATTTTAATAATACGGCACCTATTATTTAGGGTACCCAGAAAGGGACCATAATTTTGACAGCCACCCACGTGGAGATGCTTCTTTCCTGAAAGGACTCAGCCTTCTGACGCAGCCTTAAGTGTAAGCCCACACTGAAACCGACACACTCAACCCATCAAGCACTGACTGATAGGGGCATCCTGTGCCGGCATGCTCCAAGCTGCGGAAAGGCAACCGAAACCAGAAATCCAAATCGAGGCCCTCACCTTGCTGACAAACTTCATGGAGGCAACAGAGGGTGACAAGAGTGAGACTTGGTTGCAGGCGACTACATCCTCCAACGATAGCTGCCACAAGTTACAAGGATTTCGAAGTTCTGCCTTTCTAGTAAGACTCCTATAAACTTCCAGAATTTTCCAGTTCCGACTGCCCAATGCCAGAACCCCTCCTGAGCTGTAGAATGCAAAGCCCTAGTAGTAGAGTAGGTAACCTTTAACCTTTTTTGGGTAGTATAATCCCTATATATCCAAAAAGTTTAACCTTTAGCTCCCCACGATACCCGACAAGTAGGAAGCAGTCCCAGAGCAAAGAGAACAAGTAAGACCCGGGTGCCCCGACGCCCACACTGTCCGTCACTGACAAAGGTATTTTGCAGGATGTGTTCTCGAGCTTCGTTTTATCCCTGCTGGCCAGCAACTAAGCGCTTGAACCCGAAATCCTGCAGGCCCTGTGAACTTCTCATAATTGCTGCCGATGGACAAAATCCGTCGTGTGAGTATCCTTCAGTCCGGAATCGTCTTGCACGCAACACGGGATCGTGTCCTTCGGCATCTCTACACCAACACTCCCGCTACCCTACTTTCAGAATTTGAGCCAGAACTGTCTCGGGTTGCTGTAGGGGTTTAGAGTTCTAGCGTTCGGGTCCATCTCAGCTTGGAAGCTCTACCGAGCGGATGGCAGCTCTACATTGACACGGTTCTCAAGCGACTCTTTTGGGCTGCAGCTGCAAGCGACAGTCACGACAGCACATAAAATAGGAACCTAAATAATTGTTCCTTATTAAAACTAAAGTATAGGATGCCCAGAAACTCTACTCTAACCATTGAGGCCCCGTATGTTAAGCACCACACTTTAAGCGAGCATCCCAGCCCGATCTATTGAGTTCCAACCAGCCGACCGAGCTGAACTCCATTATTTGCCTTTGGTTAGTAGGGAATGGAGGAATGGGGTACAATCCCAAAGGGTCCAAGTATCATTTTGGTATATACTTAGACCCCCAAAATACCCTATGGCCCTATGGGCTTATACCATAATGATACTTGGACTCTTTGGGAATTATACTTACCATTACTACCATTCTTCCATTCCCTACTAACCAAAGGTAGGATTCAACATTTGCAACTTCCTGGCCTCCCAGTGCTCGTCAACTAAGTTGCCGTAAGGGTCCATGTGCCCAAACAGTAAAGAAGGTGGCCTTAAAGTATTCCCTATATATAGGCACAAGTATATGCTATTTAGGTACATGGACCCTTGGTTTTCAAACCAATGCAAGTTTCCATGCCAGAGAGGTCCAATGTCCTGAGCCCTATGCCCCAGACTCCAAACCAGCCTTATAATCTAATCCTCAATGACGTACTTATTTGCGCAGAAGCACCCCCACCCATCATCCATCTGAATCTCAACCATTCCAAACCAACCTATATCACGTGCTTGAAAATTCCGAAATCCTAGGCAGGGAGCTTGCGCCGACGTGCCGGTGCCAGCCACTGGCTTGCGGTGCTCCGAGGGGCCACTTGCCAGTTTTAGGGTTTGAAGGAGTAGGGGTTCAGGATGAGGTGATACCTATAGTCTCGATTGTAGTTCTTTATTTGGGTTACTTTTTAGGGTCCTAAATATATAACTGGTTAATGGTTAAACCAAGAAAAGGAACTACAATGGAGACTATAGGGATGGTTTACCGCTTGATTAGGGTTTTGAGTGCGCGATTTGGGGTTTAGGGGTTGATCGTCCCCGTCGGGTGGAAACCTCGTAGACAACCTAGTCTAACCCCCAAGCCGCAAGCCCTAAGCCCCTAGACTGAAGCCCTATCCCCTACGCCGATATCAAAAGACCGATATACGTCGTCTGGGTTACCGGCGCCATGAAGTTTAAATGGGGTTTGCAGATGGAATACCGACTGCATTTGAATTTTGTTCGCCGTTGATTCCGGCCCCACACCATACACGTTGCAAGCAGCAGCAGGACCCCAAAGCCCCCGCAGGAGACTACAGCAACGGCTCCTGCTGAGTACGTGGCTGGCCTCTTCGATGGCTACGCCGAACGATTTGATGAGCACTTGGTGGCTTTGCTCTAACTAATAAAGGTAGGTCGTCTATCTTCCATGTTCAGAAACCTTCAAGTATGTAGGATTATAGGTTGCAGGTTTCTGGTCGCTGATGTGGTTTGGGTCTCAAGGACTTCACTTGCGCGTCCAGGCAGTATGCGACAGGCTTTTGGAATCGACTTCCTGCTACCACATGTCGGCGATGTACGAAGTTCCATCTCGTTGCTGTTATGAGTTCCCAGCTGTACTTCCCGCTTTCCTTCCAGAGGTTCCTTGACTTGTTGTGAATGCATACTGACTTCCCCATGTCTCATAATAATGGGTAACATGTGAAATCTTCAAAGTAGCATCCAGGTGTCCCAACACATGTAACTCTGCAGTTGGATACCGGGCCCTAATACCCGAAACCCTAACCCTAAACCCTCAACCCAAGCTGAGAGCCTCGCCCCTTCAATTCAACTGCTAGGTCGGTGCCCTGGAGTATCGAACGCCCGAGCTCTTAGCAGAAGAGCTGGCGCACCTCAAGGATCTTATTGAGCAGTGACACGGGGGGTCGCACCAAACACGCAGCGCTAAAGGCAGGAGCAGTATATGTATAAGGCTTCAGCAGCTGGAAAGGATTGGAAATACCAAGAAGTACACCGCTCATGATTATACGATGGTATAGCGGCAGTGCCAGCAACTGTCAGAATTTGGCTGAACCGTCATGTCATGCCGATAGCATCGCACCCTCGCCCAGTAAATGTCGTAGCTGGAGTGTTGCAGGCAATGGTTACACAGTCTAACAAGCACCTGCAACAGTCCATCTTAGTCTTCCTGGGTTGTTCCAGAAGTGACCAGTACACAGACAAACTGAGCGCCAAGATCCAAAACCTTAAAGCAATGTCCAAAAACCCTAAGCAACGATGCTCCTATGTTTCAAAGCTCTCAACATTCGGAGAAGTTTGGGATTTAAGGGGCTCAGTGGTTTGGGGTTCAAGGCGTTTCTGGGTTTAGAGGTTGGGGTCCGTTTTCAGCTGCTTCGTCCCCACCTCTTGGGCTCCTGCAGTCTATGAGTACCCGTACGCTACGGTGAGGGTTTTTTTAGATACGCCACTGTTTGGGGTAGCATTAACCCCAATGCTTTCCAGGAAGTGGGATTCGGGGGGACCCAAGCATAGAGCTTTGATGATGCATGCCTGAACCTTTGAAAAATTGCACTTTAGAGCCGTTACCCATATAGGCCCCATAGTAGTTACTTTTTGGGGTTCAGATTTAGAGAATCTTATAAGGTAATCCAAAAAAGGAACTACTAATTATGGGGGCCTATGGGTACCATGAAGGTTCCAGTGAACCGTGGAGGCCCTTTTTTTCTGCCTCCAGACCTGGAGAGAGGCTGACGCAAACTTCAAGAGAACAGAACCCCGCTAAACATGTTGGGAATAACTGTTCCATGTTGATATATATAAATATATATATGCTACATGGTGCTGCCTGCAGAAGGAAAACACAGGAATGTATTGGTAACTGGGGGGGGGGGGGGTACCATATATGCTACCCCCCCCCCCCCCCCAGATACCAATAGAATTGTGTGTTTTGTGCTCTAAACCCTGCAATTCATGACACCAAGACACTCGAAGGTCTCAGATACTTCTGGTGCACGACCAGAAGGTGATTTTGTTCACTCCCCTAGATCCCGCAATTCAAGACGCATGCATCCAGGAGGCGCTTAATACAGGGCCAGGCAAGCCTGACTACATTGATGCCATACACATACAGGATGCTTCAGCACATGATAGGTAGTAACGGTTTAATGGCACCCTCTGTATTACTTAGACGTGCCTCTAATCTATCACCCATCCTTCCTTATCACACGCTAATAATAGTACAACCCTAACACCAACAACTACCACTACCACTCCTCCTCGTGCTGCTGCTGCTATTACTGCTACTACCACATTACTACATGTTTAGTTAGGTCTATGTGTTTCAGCGTCATTCCACATCTTGCCCCAAATGTATCCAGGCGACCTTTTCCTAGACCATGTCTTCTCACCATATTGCTCCTAAATTTCGTATCATGATATTAAGTTAAATCCTGTCACATATCCAACTATTATCAAGATGGTCATAACAAACCATCACAAGAACCGTACTACGACTACAATCTACTACTGATACTACTACTACTACTACTACTACTACTGCTGCTACTACTGCTACTACTACTGCTACTACTACTACTACTACTATCACTACTATCACTACTAACTACTACAACTGCTACTACTACTACTACCACTACTAGTCAATCCATAGTATTAAACACGATTACACTGTACCTATATCCGGTTATACTACTACCGCCATACCCTTATGCTATTCATCATATTCCTGCCACAATGCCTTAAGCAAGCTTTTCCATCCTATCATAAATCAAAAAGCTACCCATATTTATGGGTTTAGATGTAATTAAGGACACAGTATTAACATATCATTCACTTACATCAGTCTATCTCATTTACCTAACACACGTAAACAGTGCTCACTGAAGTAATCAAATATCACACTCAAAACCTTAAACATAAAACGTCAGTGAGACTGGCAACCAGAAACAAAACACACCCTTCTACCATCTCCAACAAACACTTACAAAAATAAGGGTACATTATCATAGTGAACCCCAGAAAGTTGGAACATTGATTTAGGGTGATTAGTGTTTGATTTACTTTGCCTTTAGTATAAGGGCATTAGGATACTGATGTTTCAACTTTCTGGAGTTCACTGTAGAATAATTTACAATGAAACCAGATCTCAAGTTGACGGCAAAACAAAAATCTGCTGTAAGTCAAAGCTAACAGAGCGCGAGAAGAAAATCTGCAGTGCGTTTTGCGCGGGCGCCGCGCGCGTGACGGAAACCTTCCAAAAGATCGTTTGATTGAGACAGTACAGTGGTTTCGTTAATTTTATTGTAAAAGTGCTGTACTGTCCCAAAAAAATCAATCCTTTTTTGCAAAAGTGCTGTACTGTCCCAAAAAAACCAAAAAAACAATCTTCTACAGTCTTGGAGCAGCTGCCGTGTAGGGGCCTCCAATAGATTTGGTTTTTTTTGGGACAGTACAGCACTTTTGCAAAAAAGGATTGGTTTTTTTGGGACAGTACAGCACTTTTGCAAGAAAAGCAACAAAAAACACTGTACTGTCCCAAAAAAACCAATCCTTTTTTGCAAAAGTGCTGTACTGTCCCAAAAAAAAATCCTATCTATTATTGGAGGCCCCTACACGGCAGCTGCTCCAAGACTGTAGAAGATTGTTTTTTTTGGTTTTTTTGGGACAGTACAGCACTTTTGCAAAAAAGGATTGGTTTTTTTGGGACAGTACAGCACTTTTTGCAAGAAAAGCAACAAAAGTGCTGTACTGTCCCAAAAAAACCAATCCATTTTTGCAAAAGTGCTGTACTGTCCCCAAAAAACCAATCTATTGGAGGCCCCTACACGGCAGCTGCTCCAAGACTGTAGAAGATTGTTTTTTTTGTTTTTTTGGGACAGTACAGCACGTTTGCAAAAAAGGATTGGTTTTTTGGGGACAGTACAGCACTTTTGCAAGAAAAGCAACAAAAAACACTGTACTGTCCCAAAAAAACCAATCCTTTTTTGCAAAAGTGCTGTACTGTCCCAAAAAAACCCAATCTATTGGAGGCCCCTACACGGCAGCTGCTCCAAGACTGTAGAAGATTGTTTTTTTTTGTTTTTTTGGGACAGTACAGCACGTTTGCAAAAAAGGATTGGTTTTTTTTTGGACAGTACAGCACTTTTGCAAGAAAAGCAACAAAAAACACTGTACTGTCCCAAAAAAACCAATCCATTTTTGCAAAAGTGCTGTACTGTCCCCAAAAAACCAATCTATTGGAGGCCCCTACACGGCAGCTGCTCCAAGACTGTAGAAGATTGTTTTTTTGTGTTTTTTGGGACAGTACAGCACGTTTGCAAAAAAGGATTGGTTTTTTGGGACAGTACAGCGCTTTTTCTAGTTTGCGGAGAAGTGTGATGCAGAGCGAGTACTCAAGTGCTGAGCATCCTGCTGCTATACTCAAAGTGGTGCAAGCGCCCTCTAAAGCCACAAAACGTTCATGGAGAGTCTTGTCACAAGTCTCAGCCAAGAGGGTGCTCGAATGCTCTGTTTTTGTCTCATGGTGCTGCCTGCAGAAGGAAAACACAGGAATGTATTGGTAACTGGGGGGGGGGGGGGGACCATATATATATATATATATATATATTGTATATATGTGTATATGTATATAGTATATATTTATATATGTATATGTATATGTATGTATATATATATATATACATTATACATATATGTGCATTTGTATATATATATATATATATACACATTTATAATTTTATATTCTTAAAACTTTTGCAAGAGGAGACCCTGTTAGCTCAGAGCCTTGGCTCCGAGCCCTTTGCCCGATGCGCGGATCTGGGCTGCGGAACTGGGCTGCCTGAGCCAAGCATTAATTAGGGTTTAGGGATGTTTAGGGTTTAGGGTTTCGTAAAAGGTTAGGATGTTGGAGAGTATATGATTATCAGGTACTTGGACCCTTGGGGTTATTCAGTACCCCTTTATGCCTCGCCTGGATTGAAGCACCGAAACCCTATAAACCCCATATCAACTCTAACTACAAACCCTAAACCCTATAAGCCCCTACAGTAAACCCCATAAGGCTGGAAACCGGATTAAGGACAAATAGTGCTGGGATTCCTTGTACATTACTCTTAAGGATTGCGGCTATTGGGTTTCCATTTTTTTTGGCTTCTACTGTAGGGTTTGGGGTTTAGGGTTTCCAGGACGTAGAGCTGGGAAACCAGGCTCAAGGCCCCTTTGGCGGCGAACCGGCTTACAGAACACATGTTTCTGTCTGTGTGGTATCAACCTTTAGAGTCTTTAGAGCTCTGTGTTTGTGTTGGGCTTGCCGTGCCAACTTGTGGCATGTGGTCTTGCGGTGGTGTGTTGAAATGGCAGGTCATCGGAAAGAGCCGCAAACATAGATGGTAGTATCGGTGGCGATGACGAGGATGTTGATGTGAATAGGCATATCTTGTAGAAGAGGATGAATCCTGATTATGACTTTATCTTTGGATGGTGATGCTCCTGCAAATGATGAACCCATGGAAAGTGGATGATGATGATGATGATGGCGATGATGACAGTGAGAGATTCGGCAGAGGTGATGCAGTCGTCGACCGGCTGATTACAACCGTCGCACTTGAGCTGGTAGTGGTTGTGTTGTTGTTCCACGAGGATCCTCGTGGCTGTGTTGGCGATGATGTTGCTAGTGGGCCTTGGTGGTATTTATGGGCAGAAGGGTATATGATGATTCTAGTCTGTTGTTTCCATTCCGTTCCATTCCATTCCCATTGCTATACGGTACTATGCGACACTATACCACAATAAATCCTATAGTATGCTCTACTCGGTCGCTCTGTGCAATTCGCAGTACCTAAGCCCTACGCTACCAAGGTTGATGGGCCCGCCTTTGAGACGATTGGGCGTGCAACACCTGGAGGCCAAAACAATACAATTCAGCCTAGGAATTGTTTGGGATTTCAGGGTTCAGTGGGGAATATGACTAAGGGGTTTCTTTAGACGGCTTTTGGGGCCTCTGGTTAGCTTCGGTGGTTGAGGGTTCAGGGGTTTCGGGGGTGTGAGGCTCTAAGGGTGAACTGGGTCCGTAGGTTTGTTTCAGGCTCCTAAATTTCCTAGATACTCTTCGAACCCATTAGGAGATGACTTCCTGTGAGCTGTGAGGGCGTCGACCTCTCCGCGAAGATGTTGGAAGTGGCGAAAGACAAGGCAGCTCGCGAGTTTCGCGTTCATGTTTGCTGCACTTTTTTTGTGTTGCTGGTTTCATGTGTGGATATGGTTTCTGGGATTTCGACATGATGTAACACGAGCTTCGTACAAGTTCCCAAGCATCCATGACTCCACGCTGCTTCTCAGATGACTCAACTTTTAGAAGTGCCTGCGAGGTCACATGCCCTTAACTCTTCAAACATTCTATAACCCCCAAGTCCCTAAACCTGCGCTCCACAGAACACTGTGTTGTGGCTCTCCGGTCTAAGTAGCAATGCATCGCACACACTCCCTCCCTCAGCATGGCTCGGACCTCTCCCCAACCCCACACTGTCCTACCCTCCAGGCCTTGAAACACAAGCCCAAAGCAGATCTACTTAAATCAGAATTTAATGAGCTGCTTCAGTAGGGGAACGTTCGTTGTCATTGTCGGACTTCGCAACAAAATATTCGGCCACGACCTGAGGCCATTGGCTGAAGACGCTGTCTTGTCCAAATAGTGTGTATCATATACTATGCGTAGAACTCCCCTCCGTTGACGACCATGCCCCTGCATCAGCAACCAGTTGCATGTTTGAAGTGGAGCTTTCCCGCCCTCATCAGGATCGCGGCTACAGCAAGCTCGTGTGTGGCGACCTGGTAGATATCTTCGAAGAAGACGACCAGGCCGTCAGGGCTCAGGCCCTAAACCCTTAAACCCCAAGATAGTTCGGCAATGAAGTGCTCTGGGCTGATTGCAGCTACGCCCATGCGTGAGACTGCTCTAAGCCCTACCCAAAGGGTCCTAAGTATTCTTAAGGTGGATATTCTCCGAAATCATAATAACGATCCCTAGTATGTAAATCTTACATTCTGCTAGTATAGGTACTTAGGACTCTTTGGAGAAAATCCTAGCTGCAGAGACAGGAGAAGAACAATCATGACTCACCAGCATCAGCAACTTCATGGTTATCACCGTCACCGAAGCTGCTCTCCATTCCCAGCTGCATCTCGTGCTGCTTTGGACGAAGGCAACTAGATTCGACCTCGTCGTGGCCGCAGATGTCTTTGTATACGCAGCCTCCTCAGTGGTTTGGTTGCTTTGTCTACTTTTCCACGCTATCGGCCGCGGCACTTGAACCTTAATATAGGGGCCTTAATACTCACCTATGCTATTGTGGGGGTCCCTTACTAAGAATATGTTATAATATACCACCAAAAACTCTATTCTAAGTACTGAGGCGCCTAGAGGTTCTACATGAAGCAGGATCTTCACGAGGAATTTGGGATGGACGTATATCGGATATCGGGCTCCTTCGAGCACTGGTGAGCAATATACCGGTTGTCACTTTGAGGAGAGCAGCACTGGCAGCAAGCAGTATATAGCCCCACCCTGCAGAGGAACCGCGTGCGACCAACGTTCTCGGCCCTAGACCTCTTTCCCAGACCTTCCCAAACCCTTTAATTAAGGAGTATACCTTAAATCATATTAGGGACCTTATTCTAATTTAAGGTATATTCCTTAATTAATGGATTTTGGAAGGTCTGGGTCTTTGCTCCGCCTCCGAAACAAGGTCTTGTGTCCATAGCCACGAACCGTAAACGCTGCACCCTGAACCGTGGAGTGCTTAGATTCCCGCAACCTTGAAACCCCAACTGCCCGAAGCCATCAGCAAGCCCACCCGTGCAAAATAAGTAGAAGTCCACAAAACCCTTTTGCTTACCCTGCAAAGCTTGTCACTACAACCCCATCAGAAACCATAGGCCTCCTGTGAGCTCTGGAAATCCCTACGCACGCCTTCAAACGCCCCAACCCCAAGTGCCGTTACATGGGAGCTTCCGAAAATTAGGGACCTTATTTTGGGATCCTTATAATAAGCATCCTACTATTTAGGGTACTATATTGGTCCCCTATTTTCGGAAACTCCCAAATCCTTGAACCACCAGGGGTAGTTCTTTTTTTGGGGTTCATGTTTAGAATCCTATAAGCTAATCCCAAGAAGGAACCACCTCAAGTGCCCTTAAATCCCTGAACCAACCGGAGGTGGGCGACCTGCAACTCCAAGTGCCCTTGAACCCCTATAAACCCTAAACCCTAAACGCCAAGAATCCCTGAAGCACCAGAGGTGGGCGACTTGCAACCCGCCCTCTCTGCGGCCTCGCGGTCGCTGACGGCTCAGGGCGTCGTCGCCTTCTCCACCGAGGTGTCGAAGGGGCTGGAAATGAGGGTCCGACCGTTTCGGTTCAGGGTTTACCTAAAGTCTCCATTGCAGTTCCGTTTTGGGGTTACCTCATATAAAACTGGTTAAACCCAAAAAAGGAACCGGTCCTTATAGGGTTTAGGGTTTATATAGGGCTTTGGGGTTTAGGGTCCGCGGGATCGAGATCCGAATCTGATGTTGGATTTTAGGTTTTAGGTATGCGGACCGGATGATGATATGGAAAGTGCGAAGGAAGGGTAGTTAATTTGCGGTTGTTAAGTGCAGCTACGAAGCCAAAACAGAGCAATTTTCCAGGCCCCGCCTCGTGCTGGCAGCGCCAATGCAACTTCAGCAGCAATTGCTCGGGGTGGGCTCCAGATTGTCTTGTGGGTTCTTATAACTTCAGGCGTGGACCTTGTAACAAAGACCAGGAATAGTACTGGTGGGTCTTTTGCAGTGCTCTTGACGTTCAGAAAGGCTGTTGAATGCAACAAAGGCCCGAGTGAATCATCCACAGTTTAGGGCTCAGAGTTTCCAAACCCGTGTGCTGAAGTCTAACCTCTTCAGACCAGGGCCTTTACTCCCCGTCGACAACCCCTCATCTCCGAAGCTTTTACCCGCAGCTTAGGCTTGAATCTGCTTCAAGCTCGGAAGGTTCATGACCGAGAAACACACGATGCCAAAGCCTATAAGGAGCCCAGGTCATTCAACGTAAAATACCATCACAAGTCCCCAACCAGGCCGGGTAGCGCAGCACCAAGACCTCATCCAAATACCCCCCCAAAAACCAAGCTTATACTTCATGAGCCATTTTTCTGTTTGCCTACCTCTCATTAGAGATGTCCATCTATCTCTGTATCTTGATAACTTTGAAAAGTTAGTGTTGAATCTGTGTGGAACAAGGAGAAGGAAAGCAAAGTTCCGGAGGGTGGCTACAAGCTGGCAGAGACTGGCCGGTATATGCGCCCCGGCAGGTTTGGGTTTAGGGTTTCAGTGTTCAGGGTTTGGGTTTTAAGGGTTCGGGGTTTAGGGTTTGGGGTTTTAGGGTTCGGGGTTTAGGGTTCGGGGTTTAGGCTATTCGGCTTCAGGGTTAGGGGTTTGGGGTTTTGAGGTTGCAGCAGCAAAAAGGGTTTTGAGGTTCCCGCAATTGACCTGGATGCAAACAGGGTGTACATCGCCTAGACAGGGTTTGCCGGGGAATAGAGCTTAGGCGACAGCGTCTCGCGTCAAAGCCTGTTAGCGCAAGGCTTTACCTTTTTCCCCCTCTCCACCCCCAACGCGATATGAGGCGGCCCAGCCCCCAAAACTATTCAAGGTCGTTTTAAATGACTTCAGCAGCATGCTTTCCCTCTTCTCTGTGCCTTTCTTTCCAATTCAGCACGAGACGGAGGCCCTTCCAACAACCTCTGATTGGACCCGCTTGAACCTCAGCAGAACCCTTAGCTATCGAACCCCATGCTGGACCGTGAACCCAACCCAAAGCCTTAAACCGCAAAAGCCCAATCCCAAGTTCGTTCAATAGCCTACCCCGACCTTCCTTCGACCCTATATACCTACTGTTCGGGACCATATACCCCTATTTGAGGGTACCTGCAGGGTCCTGGTATGCTCCAAAACCCTAGATAAATAACCCCTATATCCTCCAACAGGCAACCCTTACAGCCCTTCAAACACTGAGCCCTAAACCTTACACCCGAAACCCTAAACCCACATGAATCTATAAACCCAAAGCCCTTAAAGCCCTAAAAACCCTAAACCCCAAAAGGCCTGTAGAACCCGATAAGCCCGTAGGCACACCGCCTCATACGTCCGGTCTACTGCCGAGGACTTGGGGGTCTAGGGTTGAGGGTTCAGGGATTTGGGGTTGAGGGTTTGGGGTTGAGGGTTTAAGCGTTTAGGGTTGAGGGTTTAGGGATTTAGGATTGAGAGTTTAGGGGTTTAGGGTTGAGGATTTAGGGCTTAGGGTTGGTAAGGTCTAGGGTTATGTTGCAGGAGTTAGTATCAGAGTCAGTTCGACGTGTTTAGTGGTCTGCTTTCTCTGCCGTTTGGTGTAGAGTTCGGTGTGTGCTTTCTGTTGCCTGTTAGAGTTCATGGTCAGGGTTTCTAACATTATCCGTAGGGTTCCTTAATTAGTATAATGTACCCCCAAAATCTCCTACATTTGGGGTTTTGGGCTTTCAATTTTGAGGCGCTCGGATTTTCAGCGGGATGAGAGGTATTCCAAAGGGTTCAAAGCACTTATACCAGGAGGGTCAGGCTGCCGAAGCCGTACCGTAGTGCCAGTAAGGGCAAAGTGATGCAAGTTTTTAGTTGAGGGTGTGGGTCCTTCGACGGAATTGGGGATGTTTGAATCAGCGTCCGCGTTCAACAGGACACTTGTTTCGAGATCCGATCCGGTCTTCAGAAGGCCCAGAACCCGAAACCCAAGGTTTGTCCTTTAAACTGTTTTCTGAAACTGGCTGATCCTCAGCTATTCTGTTGCAGGCATGCGGCCTGCGACTCTGTAAGCGCGCCAACGTCGTGCTGCGAAAGACTCTCGGCTGTTCTTGTACGGTAGTCGGCAGGAGCCATAATCTGTTCTGAGGAATGACTAATCACCTAAACCTTAGACCGCAAACCACACGAGCCTCTAACAGCAGCCAGGAATGGCGGCAAGCCTGTCCATGGCCACCTGCATCTCCTGCGCAAGATGTCGACCGAAGGTCCGTGACGTCGTTCTTCCAAGCACCTCACGCCCGAGGCTCACAAGATCGGTCCCTGCATATGGGAGTTTCCGAAAATTAGGGGTACCTTATTTTGGGACCCTCAAAATAAGGATCCTACTATTTAGGGTACCATATTGGGATCCCCCATTTTCGGCAACTCCCATATCGGTTGTATCTGTGATGTGTCCTGGGCCCTTAAGTTGGCTCACGTCTCACCACCTTAAGGACGAAATTAGGCTTAAAAGGTTTGGAGGTTGATACACCATATAGGGACCTAAAGTATAAGGGTAGAGGGCCCATACTTTTAAGGGTCATTTGGTCCTTAAGGCATGGAGATTTTCCCGCCTACCAGGCTCTTCCCTTTGCAAGCTGTGATTGGCCTGCGGGGGAGATGCTGAAGCTGCCGGATTCTTGCTTCATGAAACATGAGCTCTTTATTAGAAGGGGCCCTCACCCTGTAATAGTGGTATAATAGGAATATAACCGGGCCCTAATACAATCCTTATAGTCACTATTACATGGTGGGGGCCCCTTCTAATATGCTATACTAGAGGTGTCGTGCACAGATGTGCAAAGGAGGCAACTGCAAGCTTGCAGTTCACCAGCGGAATGATTCGCTGCTTCAGCAAGCTTCCCCCGAAGGCAGTTTTCACTTTGGCCTTGCTGACGTCATGGCGACCCATGCGGGGGAGTTACAAAAGGTTCTCTGCCGGACCCATGCCCAAAGCCTCAAAAATCTGGAGGTCTGAGTAATTCTCCGTCCCATTGCAGTCCCTACGTGACTATAAGTCCGAATCTAACATTTGAATGAAGCTAAGACTTTGTCGTTCCTTTCGGGGCTGCGTACCTGGCCACACGGAGAATGAGATGTGTTCCGTGTGTAGCCGATAGTATGGCTGAACGTCACGGGCTTTCATGAGTGCATGGTCTAGGTCTTCGGTTGATTGGCCCCGTCGCAGGTTACCGTTTACACAGTTCTTGTGAAGGAATACGAAACTGAAGTTACGTTTCGTCCTAAGGATACATAGTGAAGAAATCCTGGTCCTAACTTCGTGGAAATCCTTCGAAACCCCGGTGCCCAAAAGCCTAGCTAAACCCCGAAACCGTTAGTGGCCCAAGGCCACTAACCAGAAGAGCTCACCACCCAACAAAGGATGCCCCGTTCAGGATTAGAACTATATATATGGTATAATATCCCCAAAACCCTATTCCAACCATTAAGGCCCCTACATCATAGTATGTGAACCACATTATCTTCTTGAGGCTCTTTGGGCTCCGTGGGATGAACCGGGGACAGCATCTTCCCGAACTCCTGCTTGACTCGTGCTCCTGAACCCTCTGCACCCTACACCCTAGGCCCTCAACCCGGAACCCTAATCCCTGAACCCTGAACCCTAAACCGAACCCTAAACCCCAAGCCCTTTTGTCGCTTTGCCCAGGATGTGAAGTGTGGCATGCTCCGGCAGGTGGACATTCCCGGACAGCCCACGCCTAAGCTCGGATCAGCGTTGCGAGCTTCTTCTTGAGCAGTCGGGTTGAGGGGATGCTCTGGGGCATATATATATATATATATGTATGTATGAATGTATGTATGTATGTATGGATGTATGTATGTATATATATATATATATGTATGTATGTGTGCATATATATATATATATATACATATATATATATATATATATATACACCATATGTATATGTATATATACATATATATATAGATAGAAAACATATATACATATACAGTACATACTTTACATTAAGACTCCAATTATACACTTGGTACCTAATCTGGGGTCTAGAGGCCGTAAAAAGTTACATGTTGTCGGCCAGTTGCAATGATCAGGTTAGTAGTCAGGATTTGCTCACACCGAAAGTGGCACCAAGTATGACGGGTCTACCTCTGCTGCTTGAACGGCAGGTGATTACTTCAAGTCTTTGGGCTGTTAAGTATGGATTTGCAGGTTTATGATTTCGGGCTTCGGATGGGGTTAATTGTCAGACACTGCTTATGCTGTGCTTCGGGCCAGTGATGGCCCATTACTTTCGGCCATGGGCAATTCCATTGTGATTGTGCAAATGAATCTCCTGGGAATGATCTGTCGCTAACCCTCGAATTCAGGGTTTCGGGGTCACACCCACAAAGTCGTCTGCCGCGCTGGCTCAGAGGCATTGCGATCGTGGTGCTTTCTTGCATGCCAATGAACCACGCAACGATTGTCGACAAGAGTGACTAGAGAGCTACAAAGATATAAAGTACAGAAGCACATCTCGTACAGGGATTCAATCTTCAAGGGTCCATTTTTAGTTGGTTGTTTGCTCGTAGTTGAGGTTTCGAGACCGAAGAGTGCGTTGGAAGGCTCAGCACAATGGAGGATGCACACTAAGTTTTGCAGCTTATAGTTTAGTGTTTGGGGCAACAGCCACTTTTCAGCACCCTTACGCTTAGGAGCAGTATCCATATACACAGAGCTCAAGCCTCATGTCGGCAACAGGGCCTGCGCTGAGCCAGCAGCAGGTTCGAGCTCTAAGATAAGACGGCTTACGGGTCCTGTTTGGGGGCTCGAAGATAGCCGTGTGCACTTGAACTCAAACGACGCAGCATGGAACCTTCTCATATGAGGACACAAGCCGCAAGCTTCACAGAGATCCTTCAGCATGTATACCTTCAACAGGCATGTAGTCTACTTGTCTGTAAGGTCATGATCTACACCCGGAGCCCGTAGCGAGCCTATGAGAACCGTCGACGCAGTCCGTCGAGCCGTCCACCGCCGGCGCACAATCACAAGAGGCAATGGAGAAGCTTATGGGGTTTTGGGGTATAATACCCCAAAACCCCATAAGCTTCTCCATTGCTTTGCACGTTTAATACTGCATTCTATCGATCTCTACCACGACTTGTGCCCTTTCAAGCTTCGAGTTGTCTGGCGCGGGTACAGTCCCTGGGCCGGTGGGCTGAGAGTTTTAGGGTTTAGGGGTTTAGGGTTTAGGATTTACTACTATAAGGGACCGTTAAGGTCTCAGAGAGGGCTGCAGACAAGGGTGTGGGTGTGGTGGTGTTCGGATTTTCGACACGGAGGGCTTAGGGCTTTAGGACCCTGACTAGTTATAATGAAGCCCTTACAATCCCAAGATTGAACTCGTAAACCCCCAACTCCAAGAACATTATGAACCTCAAACCCGAAGCGTATTGCCAGCTTCTCCTGCGCGAATGCCGGCGCTACATCGCCCTTGCGGAGCTCAGGAAGGCCGATAACTACTAGAGAGGCGTTAAGAGATCATAGGCTTGCATACAGGTGACGTAGAGTTGTTTACATTCGAGTTCAAAGGTTGAGACGCTCGTGGTCCACGATGGTGTTCAGGCCTGGAAGGCAAAGGAATCGCACTGCCCATGTGCAATTCGACCCCGGTGCTGCTTGCTTTCCGATTCATGCACAACCGTTTAAGATGTCCTAGAGTCTTACACGCTAAAACACTGAGGTAGGCTTCAAACTCCGAGAGCCTAGTCGGCCCCGTCCCAAGGCCCAAAGGCTTCAGCTGTTCACCGTGGAGATTAGTAGAGATACAGAGAGAGAGAGAGAGAGAGAGAGAGAGAGAGAGAGAGAGATAGAGAGAGACAGAGAGAGTTTTCTTTCAAAAAAGCAGTCCAGTTCTTTGTCTTTTTGGTCTACGCTTCTCGGAGCTACACAGGTGCAAGCAAAGTTGGCGCATGAAGCTTGCACATGTATATGCCAGAATCGGCTGGAGTCCGAAACGCGGGTAAGACCTAACAAGTTATTGCAAATACGCAATTTTTCGGCTGTGCTGTGAACCCGAACACTGTACGGCAACCTAGAGCTTGTGTGCTAGAAATGTAGGCGAGACCAATTCTCTGAAGACGTGAAGCCCCAAACTGTCGTGACCCCTACAGACCTTTCAGGCCTGAAGCACCCCTGGCCCTGAGCACAACACCTACTTGCACACATAGCACAGATAGATGGATCTAGATTGATATCTCTATCCCTATAAAATAAATAAAGAAGTGAGTATGTATACATGTATATGTACATATACATAACTATGTTTTAGTATATGTATACATACACACATAGATAGTAGAAGCCAGGATCTCAAGGAAGCGAGAAGTCCTGTCGGAGGCCTTTGAGAGGCTGTGGCGCGAGTCCTGGGCGCATGCCGCACCTGCTGAGGCTCAAGACAGATGGCAGTGCAATATATGGGCCAACAATTACCTATATACTACTTTGGGGGTTCCTTAAATAATATACATATAGTATAATGGGCTGTTCCCTGAGCCTTATTCCTTTGCATGCACTAAACCATAAGAGCGCAGTGCGGGGGATCTGTAGACATCATTGCCGTGGAGTTTCAGCTTTGAGATTTCAGGCTAGGGGTCGGCATTGTATCTAAACCCTGAACCCTTGACTTAGGGTTTAGGCTGTATGGTGTGATAGGGGACTCTAGTCGTTTCTTGGCTTTGGTCCGGATTGTGAGTACAACGGGTAATATTGCCAGAACAGCGGAGTCGTGCAGCACCTCAACATCCAAAACGTGACCGGGACCCACACCGCGAACCATCGGCCTGCGATCTAAGTTCAGGTTTGGTTTAGAGTGTTGCTTTAGGGGCTTAGGGTAGATCCTGCAGGCACTTTCGTGCATCAGGTGGGGTTGAGGCTCGAGGGGTTCATGGAATATCCTGCCAATTCCCCAGCACGCTTTTTCCAGACACCCTACACCCAGGTCTGCAACGGAACGCCAACAGTTTCTAGCTTTCCGTGCGGTCTTCTTTCAGTATCTGCGACACTGAAACTGGTTGCACTCACTGCTCTTTGTCATCGCCTGGCTCAAGCGTCGGTTTTTCAGATCCGGGCTGAGCCGAAGAAATCCGAAGCTTTCCCACGGCTTCTGAGCAGTCATGTACAAGCGCCCCTCCCTATTCCGCAGATCTCTGAGCTTGCTTTTTCCTGAACATCTCTGAACATAGTCTTTGGGGGGGGGGGGGGCA